ATGCTAATCCTGTCTTGCTTCATTAAGCTTAGAACAAATTGACTAGCAGGGGAGAAGGGGGGATACAAGTACAAGGTGTTGTACTCCCTAAGAGCTGACTTAGCTAGGATATATAAACAAAAATAACCTAACTAATATATGTATATATGTGAGTTGACACAACCCCTAGCCTAGGTAGAGGCAGAGTCTAATAGACAAGAACCAAATAAACGAGGGCAGCATTATTAGTCTGACCTCTGATGTATGAAACAAAGCAACTTAGGGAAGCACTACTAATCTGACCACTGAGACAAGGGCCACAAGGCCAATCAGCAAGTGTAGCAAGACAAGCAAGTATAAAACAACAAGTACAAGCCGATATAGCATCTATCAGGATACAAGGAGCAGAGCTGCTACGGAGACTAGACCAAGCTGAGTACAGAACCGCTGATGGTCACGAGGCGGATGTGCCTTGGTGAAGATATCAACAGTGTTGGCCTTTGAGGCCAAATGTACTACATGAGCTTGACTGCGCTGCTACAACTTACGCAGTGGAAAGTTCCTCAACTGGATGTGCTGTGTCATGCCCTCAAGTCCAGCCTCCTGACACAGGATGATCATGGCCTTGTTGTCAGCAAACAAGACCGGGGCAGATCTAGGCTGCTCACCAAAGTCGGTGAGCAAGAACGTTAGCCAGCGGAGCTCCTAAGCGATCATGACCCCAGCGTAGATCTCTGCTGCACAACTAGACTGAGCTACAGACAACAACCTAGTGGACCTCCACGAGACTGCACCCACACCAATGCTAAAGCAGTAGCCTTGTGATAACTTGAGAATCTCGAGATCGTCAGCCCACAACGCGTCAGTATGTCCAGTAAGCACCACCGGCTACCGTCCTCCCAGCATAAGCCCCAGTCTTGATGTACTCGCCAGATAACGCACCACCCTCTTGGCAGCTGACCACTGTTCTGGTCAGTGTCTGCCAGTTGCAACAAAGCGAGCAAGGATACTGAGAGGGTACGCTAGATCTGGTCAAGTGCACGTCATCATGTACATAAGGTACCCCACTAGCTCTGCGTATGGACCACTAGGCTCGGTCACCTCAACCGGGATAGGAGCAGAGAGCTTGTGATCCACAGGCAGAGGGGTGGGCTATGCTGAAGAGAACTGAATGCTGAACCACTAGAGAATGTGTTGCACCATGTGAGACTGGGAGAGTGTGATCATGCGCCCTGCACGGTCACAAGAGATCTCCAAGTCCAAATAGTGCCGCAGCTCTCCCAGGTCTTTGAAGGCGTGTTGCCTGAGCAGCTTGGCCTCCACTGAGGCCAGTGCAACTGTGTCAGGAGTAGCACAGATAAGGAAACCAAAAAAACTACACAAGTATGTAGAATGGAGTCTGACCAGTATGGTCAAAGAGCGAAGGGTCAGCAAAGGACGGGAAGAATCGCAGAGCAGCAAGTGTAGTGCGGAGCATGTCGTGCCATTCACGGGGTGCCTGGCACAGACCGTAGATACGGCGGCGCAGGCTCTACTGGGTCCCAGGTGGGAAGGACCTCGAGAAGCCTAGTGGGTGCCGCAGGTAGATCTGCTCGTGCAGGCTACCGTACAGAAAGGCTGTAGAGAAGTCCAGTGAGTGGAGCTCGTAGTCATGCTGTGCAGCTAGGTGGAGGGGCACCTGAAGAGTAGTCATCTTCAGGGTAGGGCAGAAGGTCTGGAAGAAGTCTACACCCTCCTGCCGACTCAAGCCTCTAGTCAAGTAGAACGCTTTGAACTTTTGCGGCTCTCTGTGCGCGCTTCACCCTATAGATGCACATGCCATTGAATATGTTCGCGCCAGGCAGGGGAACTGCGTCGACGTAAGTGCCTATGGATTTGTAGGATGCCATCTCTACCTCCATGGTCTGTATCCACTGGGCTGCCCTTACACCCGAGACCACCTCAGCGTAAGAGCGCGGGATAGGGATATAAAGGGCGTTGGGGTCACCCTCAAGGGATACAAGCATGGAGCAGAGATGGGGTACAGCGGCGGCAATGTAAGCCAGCTCGTATGGCCTGCCCTCAAGGGCAGGTGCACCCCCAACGGACAGAGGACGAGCAGTACTAGATCGAAGAGCAGCACCATAGTCCAAGCAGTGGCTAGCAGAGAATTCAGCGATAGCAGCGACAAGCATAGAGACTGTTATAACCACAATAGGCTTAGATGTGCCTATAATGAGAGATAGAGAGCACAGTCGGATTTCCGTCAGACGGCTTCAAATATTCATAACGAACTGGTCACTGAATCAAACGGTGATTTGTAAGCTGGATATGGAGCGCGTTTTTGTCGTCTATCAGCAGCAAGTTGAATCATGAAATTCCATGAAGATTTGACGACGCTATGGCGGTTTGACTGGCAGGAGGTAAAGCAGCCACTATAGTCTTAGGAGTACAAACTTAGCAAGAAGAGTTCGAGAGGGAGATGGTTCCCAGCCTCTACATACCCCAAGAGCCGAGGTCCAGGTTGGTGGTACACAACCACAGAGTCCCCAACCATGAAGAGTCTCGAAAACAACCCTCCAAGGGGCTACACCAAGTGAAATGTAACACTACACGAAGTAACGTTACTATTTTCACTATTTAATATTTATCCGCGTCCCTTGGGCTTGAAATCTTGAGCTCTTGTTCTTGGATCTGCAAGATAAATTCTTCTTGAGTTGATGGGGTCTTGCTGCACACACCTGCGACACGATGGACACTTCACACTCGACAAAATAGAAAAAACACATGCGACACACAAACGACGACTTGACATGCGAGTTGTAGAAACTCGCTAATGTCTTGACCGACACAAACCACATTGTGATACACCATTCAAACACACACACAAGCACTGGATAGAAATGACATAGACTCACAATTCATTCCATGCCATGCATGCACACACACAAACAAGGACGACAAGCCGAGTGCAAGCCATAGGGTTGCACCAACAAACTCCCCCTCGGATTGTTGGCCTTAGAATCTGCTCCCCTTAGTTCAAAGGCATCCCAGCAAGCTTGCAACACTTCCAATGCTGCTGCTCAACCAGCCTCTTGGTCATCATATCAGCAGGCTGCGCCGTCGTCTTCACGTAGTGCAACTCCACTTCACCCGCGGTTACCATGCTCCTCACCCAATGCCACTTCACCTTCATGTGCTTGGTAAGGCCATGAAGAACGGGGTTCTTAGCCAATGCAATAGCACCCTGGCTATCACAGTAGAGTGGGGTAGGTCCTTGCTGCTCCTCCCCCAATTCAGCTAGCAAACGCCGCTGCCACACAACCTCTCTTATGGCACGGAAGAGTGCCATGTACTCGGACTCCACCGAGCTCAATGCTTGGTCCACTTGCTTCTTGCTCTCCCAAGCTGTTGGCCCTCCACCAACACAGCAGATGAAGCCTCCCACACTTGTCATGTCCTCTGGTTCTGATGCCCAAGATGCATCAGAGAAGGCCGTGAGAAAGAGCCTCCCGGGTTCGACTCCATCCGCACCCTTTTGACGCCTTTGTGCCGCCGCGGAGTATTGCAGTCCAACAGTTGCTGTTTGGCCAAGGTACTTGGCCACCCTCTCTCTAGCAGCTACCTGCTCTTCATTAGGGCATTGGACAACCCTAGCCAGCTGCCCAGTAGCAAAGGCTGCATCCGGCCTTGTGTGAACGGCCGCATACATGAGGCTGCCCACCAAGGAGTGAAAACGGCGCCTCTCCTCTTCACCAACACTTTCCTCCGCTGGTCCTTTCACACACTTGAACCCTGAGGGAAGAGGAGTAGCCACATGACCTTCAATCTTCCCAAATTTTGCAGCCAAGGCCTCCAAGTACTTCTTTTGATGCACTCGCATCCACCGCTTCTCCACATCTCGCTCAATGTGAAGCCCAAGGTAGTAGTTGACGTCACCAAGGGTCTTGCACTTGAACTTGTCTTGAAGCTTCAGCATCACCTCCTTCACAAGGTCAGAGGAGGGTGAGAATATGAGGATGTCATCCAAATAAACCACCATGAAGCTCCTCTGCTCCCCTTTGCCAAGCATGAACAAGGATTGATCGGCCGTTGAGGGAGTGAAGCCGATCGCCTCCAAGACTTCCCGCAGCTTGATGTACCATTGCCTAGAGGCTTGCTTGAGGCCATAGAGTGCTTTCTTCAGCTTCCACACTCTGCCACTCCCATCATTGTACCCCTTTAGCTGCTCCATGTAGGTCTCTTCCTCCAAAACGTCGTTGAGGAAGGCCGTTACTATATCCATTTGCTTCACCACCCATCCTTTGATGGCCGCCGCAGCGAAGAGGGTTCGAAGGGTTGTACCCTTCACCACAGGGGCATACACTTCATTGTAGTCCTTCTTCTCTTGCTGCTGATACCCCTTGGCTACAAGTCTGCTCTTGTAGCGCTCAATGTTGCCGTCGGCGTCGGTCTTGCGCTTGAAGAGCCACTTGGAAGAAATCGCCTTAAGCCCCGGAGGTAGGTTCACCAAGTCAAACGTGTTGTTCTCGATGATGCTCCCCATTTCTTCATCTGAGGCCTTCTTCCACTCCTTCCCATTGGGGCCCTCCCAAGCCTCCTTGGGATTTGTAGGCTCCCCCGGGATCTCCACCGGAGAGAAGAAAGCAAAAGCGCACTCCTCGCTTTCATCTTCCGCATCATCGCCTAGCATGAGGGCCGAACCGGTCAAGGTTGAGTTCGCTGATCCTCCAAGCCGTTCATAGCTCAACCGTTTGGGGGGCTGAGTCTTCCTTCTCCCCCTTCCTTCCTCCTCTGCTGCAGGGACTTGGATGCTCTCATGGCGTTGCTCCAAATCTGGTCGGTTCCCACGAGCAGTTGTAGCACGAGGCGGAAGTGACGGTGCACGCTCATCACCTTGTTGCTGATGGAAATCGTGCAAATCTGGAGAGAACTAATTAGAGATTAAGTCTGACGACCTCAACGAATCATTGCGTGCTGCTCAGGTAACTTCTAGAAATGAGCTTATACGCGTTGGAAAGGTCTTAATCTCTAATTTCCAGAATGGTAAAGCACGTTCATAACCAAGATCTGAGCCGCCGATTATGACGAAATCAGTGTGAGGGGGTCTTCTGGTAATTTGGCTAGGCAGCCATGAATCACCTAGTAAAAACGAGAAGGGAAGCAGTTCGATCTGGAAAAGTTGGAGTATTTGATTGTCAAACAACACCAACCCTCGCCCTGAACCAAACCCTAACACTCCCAAGTGCCACAGCTGCAACATCAAAGATGTTGTAGTGGGTATGGGGTAGTATGGGTTGGAAAGGTAACGAGATCAAACCTAGCCAACCAACTCAATTCTTTTGCCCAAATCCCAATAGCCCACAGCCAGCTAGAGCAAATCACACCACAGAACACTACACATTTATCACTCCCCCTTGCTCGTGCTGGGTGTGGCTCAACACCATAGGGCAAATGCCTTCACACCACTCCCCCTTGCCCATGGGTTGGGGCCACCCAGAGCATGGAGTCCGCCAAGGAGAGGAGCACCAAGACGCCGGCATCTGCTGCGGGAACCCTGTCATCATGGGGCTGCATCCCGAGCAAGGTCATGCACACACCATGACGCTCAAATGGAAGAGACTTGGTAAGAATATCAGCAGCCTGACGGTTGGTAGGGCACCACTGCAAAATCACCTCACCCGCAGCTACCATCTCCCGAATGAAATGCCACCGGACCTGCATGTGTTTGGTGCGGCCATGCAAGCATGCATTCTGTGCAAGGGCAATGGCAGACTGATTATCCACAAACACAGGCACACCACCAGCATGATCATGGCCAAACTCCCCAAACAAACGCCTCAGCCAGACACCCTCCTGAATGCACTGACACAGACTTATATACTCACTCTCAGTGGTAGAGAGTGCTACCACGGGCTGCCTCTTGCTCTGCCAAGAGAGAGCTGCCCCATTCAGACAGAACACATACCCACTGTGGCTCCTGCGACTTGCGGAATCTCCAGCATAGTCAGCATCACTGAAGCCAACTAGCTGGACCTGAGACTGGGGCTGTGTTTGGAAGAAGATACCTGACTTGACACCACCTTTCAGGTACCTCAGCACTCTCTTAGCGGCCTGCAAGTGAAACATTTTAGGACAAGAGGCGACCTTAGATAGCTGTGAGACTGCAAAGGCAATCTGTGGCTGTGTGGTAGTACAAGCATACATGAGGGATCCCACAATGCTTTGGTAGAGCTTGACCAGCTCATCTCGCAGCAAGGGTTCATCCTCATAGGCATGCACATCAAAGCCTGTTGGGAGAGGAGTACGCACGGGGTTGGCCTCTGAGAGACCAAAGGACTGAAGCATGTTAAGAATGTACCTCTCTTGATGAATCAAGATACCACTCTCATCACGTTCAATTTGCATTCCCAAGTAGTACTTCACCTCCCCCAAGTCCTTCATGCGAAAACGCAAGGACAAGAACTCTTTCACTCGATCTAGCAAAGCCTTGCTAGAGCATAGGAGCAAAAGGTCATCCACATAGAGGAATAAGGAGATCCGCTCCTCATCTTTCACAAAGTGGTACAAGGCAGGGTCACACTCAGATCTCTCAAACCCAAAATCCATGAGAGCCTCATCAAATTTTAGGTACCACTGTCGTGGGGCTTGCTTTAGCCCATAAATGGACTTTTTGAGGCGACACACTCGGTGAGACCCATCATCAAAACCAGGGGGCTGCCGCATGTAAAGCTCTTCCTCCAAATCCCCATGGAGGAAGGCTGTCTTGACATCCATATGATGGATATCAAGCCCCAAAGCAGCTGAAATTCCAAGCATATCTCTCAAGGTCGCATGCTTCCCAACTGGAGAGTACACTTCTTCATAGTGTACTCCCAATTTCTGCGTGTTTCCCATCACCACCAATCTGGACTTAGGCCTCTCAACAGTACCATCAGGGTTATGCTTGTATTTCCAAACCCATTGACACCTGAGGACCTCCAAACCAGGTGGTACCACTGCTGGATCAACCAGCTCAAATGATCCATTTACCTTGTGAGACTCAAGCTCCTCATGCATGGACTCAACCCATTCTGGACGGTTCAGCGCCTCGTGGACTGACCTAGGCTCATGCACCTGACCCATTAGACACACATCAAGAGCATACTCATGCCCATGCATGTCCACAAGCATGCAATCATCCAAATCAGACACAAGATGATCATGCATGCGTGCAATGTGCCCCGGGGTAAACCTTTCAGGTGGCTGGGAAATTCGAGCACTGCGTCGCAGAGGTGTTGCCTCTCCTTCTTCCAGCCTCCGCAGCTTCTCCTCCCAAGTCACCCTCTTCATTGGAGTCCTCGGAGTCTTGGACAGCTGCTGGTCCAACAACTGCTGCCAACTGCTTCTCGATGGAGTTGAAGGCACATGCTGCTCCGGCTGATCATCACGCGCATCGGCCTGCGTGGCTGGCTGAGGGGTAGAATCTGTCTCTCGGGACTCCTCATGGTTAGGATCAGCTGGTTCTGGCTCCTCCTGCTGCTCCTCCCCTTCATCTCCAGGGTCCTCCCATGCCCCCTCAAAGATAGAAGCCGTATGAGGGTCTTGAATGGAAGTCCCACTTTGGCTTGTACCATGCTCCTTCCACCCCTTAAAATTCAGCCCCTCATGGAAAATCACATCACGGCTCTCCATCACACGCTGGTCAGCTACACTCCACAGCACCCAAGCCTTGCTCCTCTCAGAAACCCCAAGGAAGATCCCCCACTGTGCCTTAGGATCTAGCTTCCTTCTTTGCTGGTCAGGTACCTTATACTGTGCCATGCACCCCCACACTCGTGCCATGGAAACATTCGGCACCTTCCCTGTCCATAAGGAGTATGGGCTCTTGCCTCCAAGCCCCTTGCTGCCCATCCTGTTCTTCACCCAGTTGGCATACTGCACTGCTGCCCCCCACCAAGTGTTATCAAGCTCGGCATGGGAAAGGATGGCCCGAGCCAAATCGGTCAAGGTCCTGTTAAGCCGCTTCGCTGCCTCATTTTGCTGCGGCGTGTAAGGTACAGAGAGCTGGTGGGTAATACCCTTTTCTTCCAAGAAGGTTTGAAGTTCTTTCCCAAGGTACTCTCCACCCCGATCTGACCTTAACACCTTTACCTTGGCCCCTGATTCCCTCTCCACATAGCGTATCCACCGCTTAAACACCTTTCCCACCTCATCCTTGGTCTTCACCAAGGTGACCCAGCTAAGTCGACTGAAGTCATCAAGAAAGGTGACAAAGTACCTGCTGCCCCTTTCCCGGTCAGGAGTTTGCATCGGTCCACACACATCCGTGTGCACCAGCTCAAGGGGAGTCGAGGCATGATCAGAGGAGATAGGGAATGAGGTTCTAGGCAGCTTTCCAGACGTGCAGTCGGGACATTTGCTCTGCTGCCCAGCTCCTTTCTTGACCTCCACCCCCTTCAGCTCCCCCTTCTTCACACACTCCAGCAGTTGCTACTTCCCCGCGTGCCCCATGCGAAGGTGTAGCAACTCAGGTGACACCGTTTCCACCTGCCTCCAGCGAGTGCTACAAGCGGCTTCCTCAGAAAAAACCATATGTGCCTTGTAACAATTAGGCACACAAGCTGGAACAAGGTATAAACCCTTGTCCAGCTTTGCCTCCATCACCACAGCTTCACCCTTTCTAACAGTACACCCTCCCTCCGTGAAAGTGCAGATGTATCCCTGTTTAGCCAGCTGCGAGCATGAAAGGAGGTTTGCAGCCAAACCAGGGACGTGAAGGACCCCCTTCACACCCACTAGCTCCCCCTCCTTCCCCTTAATGGTGATCGTGCTGATGCCAATTGCTTGCAGCAAATCTCCGCTCCCAACAATCACGTTCCTCGAATTTGGTGGGAGAGGATGGTAGGAGGTGAAGAGATCACGGCGAGGAAGCATCCCAGATGTTGCTCCAGAGTCTAGAACCAGGAAGTTGGGATCAGCCAATGCACGACCAGCGAGAGCTGCATCCTGCCCTAGCATGAGAAACGAGAAACCATCATCGGAGGAGTCGTCTTGGCCCTTCCCCTTCTCATCCTTAGCAGCTGCGGCCGTTGCTCCCTTGCTGCCCTTCTTATTCCAGAGCCCCTTCTTCATCCTTTTCTCCACCCAATCAGGTTTGGTCACTGGTGGGGCCTCTCCAGAGTAGCCGTGAGGCTTCCATCCCTCAGGCCTACTCCAGCAACTCTTCCAAGAGTGTTTTTTGTTGCATCCGTGCACAAGGCATTTGTCCAACTCTTTCTTCTTCCCCCCACCTCCTTGCTGTTGATAGCCTTTCCTGGAGGAAGCTTTATCTACTGCACCCATGCCTCCTTCTAGACCTCTTCCAGCATCAACCTTGCGAGCCTCATCAGAAATTAGAACCTCCCAAATCCACACCTTGGTCCATTTCTGTTGCTCGAGGTGAAGGTACTGTAGTAATGCCTCATTAGCCGCTTGATCCAACCCTTGGAGCGCAGTATAGATGATCTCCTTCTCATCTACCGTGTAATCCAGCTCCTCCAAAGCCCGCACATTCTCATCCACCCTCTGGAGATACTGAACCATGGTCTCCCCCTCCCCATAGTTCCGCTCCATGGTGTAAAACCGCTTCCGCCAAGTAAGCACGCTTAGAAGCCCTTTCTGCAAGTGCCTATCTTGTACTCTTTTCCAAGCTGCAGCCGCTGCACCTTCCTTCCCCTTCAGGTCAATCAGCATCTTAAGAAGCTCAAGTTGCCCCTCCAAAGCCCAACACAGGTACTGAAAAGCCTGGCGATCCTTCCGATCCCATGCTTCTTGAGCTGTGAGCAACTCCTCGCTACTTGGTTGCGACCTTCCGGTTCGGGTTGCAGCAGTTCCTCCTTCGTGGTCGCTTCTCCGATCCATCCAACACACTTTCTAGGTCCTTAATACCTAGCCATAGTGTGAACTGGAACCTCCATAGCGAAAAGTCCGAGCCGGTAAACCTAGGAGGGCCATCCAACTTTTGGGCCATGTCAAACCCTAGATCTGGAGCACTTCAAGCCTCTCTAGATCTCTTCCAATGGAGGAAAGAACGTCCTCTAACCGTGGCTCTGATACCACTGATGGAAATCGTGCAAATCTGGAGAGAACTAATTAGAGATTAAGTCTGACGACCTCAACAAATCATTGCGTGCTGCTCAGGTAACTTCTAGAAATGAGCTTATACGCGTTGGAAAGGTCTTAATCTCTACTTTCCAGAATGGTAAAGCACGTTCATAACCAAGATCTGAGCCGCCGATTATGACGAAATCAGTGTGAGGGGGTCTTCTGGTAATTTGGCTAGGCAGCCATGAATCACCTAGTAAAAACGAGAAGGGAAGCAGTTCGATCTGGAAAAGTTGGAGTATTTGATTGTCAAACAACACCAACCCTTGCCCTGAACCAAACCCTAACACTCCCAAGTGCCACAGCTGCAACATCAAAGATGTTGTAGTGGGTATGGGGTAGTATGGGTTGGAAAGGTAACGAGATCAAACCTAGCCAACCAACCCAATTCTTTTGCCCAAATCCCAATAGCCCACAGCCAGCTAGAGCAAATCACACTACAGAACACTACACATTTATCAGCTGCACCTCCTCCTCCTCTTCTCCCCCATTCATTTGAGGAGATTGCCTTATGATAGTGCTGCTGCTACTCAGCTCCAAGGGCAGCTCCACATGCTCCAAGCCGGTACTCTTCACCTCTCCAAGCCGCACACCAATCTTCGCTTGGTTCTCCGCCTTCCACTCCTTGTACGGTAAGTTCTCCATGAACTTGCAATCTCTGCTCACCAGGAACTTCTTGGTAAATGGGTCCCAAAGAAGCCATCCCTTGCTGTTTTGAGCCATGCCCAGGTGCACAGCCCATGTTGCCTTGGCATCAAGCTTGTTGTGCCGAAGTTTCTTAGGCACAAGTGCCATGCACATGCACCCGAACACCCGAAGCATATCCACCTTCGGCTTCCTTCCAATCCACTCCACATAGGGCACCCATTTGTCTTCTCCCACATGATTCAAGGCTCTGTTCTTGGCCACACAAGCATGCCGCACCGCATCCGGCCAAAAGTAATTGGGTAGACCGGCTTCAATGAGAAGTCCCCGAGCCGTCTCCGTGAGTGTCCGATTCGCACGCTTGGCGATGCCGTTCATTGCAGGAGAGTAGGGCATGGTAAGAGAGTGCCTTATGCCCTACTTCTTCAGCCAAGTTGAGAAATCCTTGCTCAGGAACTCTCCCCCACGGTCAGTGCGAATCGCCTTCACAAGTCGCTCTTGTTGCCGCTCCACCATCGGCAACCAATCGGTCTTCACCGTTTCAGCTACGTCACTCTTCTTCGGAAGCACATACACCCAAGTCATGCGAGTGTAGACGTCCACAATGGTGAGGAAGTACTGTGCTCCAGCAGCTCCAAGCTTCAAGGGGCCCACCACATCCATCACCACCTCATCAAGTGGTGCCTTCGCCGTTGTCTCCGAGCTATGGAACGGGTAGCGGGTGAACTTGGCTTGCATGCATGTTGGACAGCCAAGCACCTCATTGGGCTCCCCCTTGACACGTATCCCACTGACCATCTCTTGCTTAACTATCTGCAGCAAAATGGGCAATGCCACATGCCCCATTCGCCGATGCAAGGTCAGCCAATCACACTCTCCCGTAGCGGAAGTCGGGTTGGAGAAAGCGGCACTCGCAATCGTGCCCCACAAGCTCTCTCCTTTCTCCTTCGCCACTGCTGCTTTGCTGATCTTAGGCTTCTCCTCCTCATTTCCACCACCTTTGGCTGCTGCACCACTCTCCTTGGGTTCACACGCCTTGCTGGTCTCTCCAAGGTTGCACTCCTTCGAGTCCCTCTTGGTGTCACTTTGTTTTCCGTGATCACCGCCACCAACCGCTTCACTCTTGGTGCTGACGCTTGCTGCCACTTGCCTCCCCTTAGGCATGGGGACCACTAGGATTTGCCACATCTCATTGTAGATGTCCCTGTCCTCATGAAGGTCCCAAAGCTTCCGCTCACCAAGCCTCGCGGTATATGTTTTAGAGCCCTTGGAAGATGTGTCCATGCCGGCCTTTTGCAAACGCCGAACAGAGATCAGGTTGGCTGCAAGGTTGGGCACCCAAAGCACGTTCTTGAGGCCCACCATCTTCCCATCAGCACCCTTGAACATGGCCTTGCTCATGCCTTTCACCTCTGCTCGCTGCCCCAAAGCCGATGTAACATGCTTGACCGGCGACGGTTCGAATTCGGTGAGCAAGTCCGCACGAGGTGTCATGCTGTAGGTGGCGCCGCTATTGATCACCCAAAAGTCCAGAGAGTGAAGGGTGACCTTTCCCACAGTTGCTGGCTCCTCAAAGCCATCCACACCTCCTGCTGCAGCTGCCGCTTGTGTGGAGACAAAGAAGAATTGGCCCGGGTATCGATCTTCACTCGAGTCCTTGTCGTAGTCTCCACCTTTCATGCTTGCCGCTTCGCCTCCACGGCCACCACGGCCTCCACGACCTCTGCCTCTTCCTCCCCTTGCTCCTCTTCCCTCTTGGCCTTGAGAAGGGGTCCAGCCATCAGGTAGTTTGAAGCAATCTCTCCACATGTGGCCAGTCTTGTAGCAAAAGTGACATTCGCCATCAAATCGACCGCGCCCACGCCCGTAGCCATTGTTGTTGCTGCCATATCCTCCATTACCACGACCTCCATCGAAGTTGCTGCTGCCAAATGTGCCTCCTCGCCCTCTACCCCTTCCACGGCCGTGCCCACGGCCCATGCTTGCAACTCCGGCACCATCGGGACCCGCCAATTCGCGACGGCGGAAATCTTCTTGTAAGATTTCCCGCTTCACATCTTCGAGTGAGAGACGGGGCAGATCTCGATTAAGGTTGATGATGAGCGAGGACCATGAGTCTGGAAGTAAGGCCAGCAGCTTGGTCTTTTTTTGAAGGTCACTGTAGTTCAGATCAGCTCCTTCGAGCCGTGTCAACAAGTCGAAGAATTTCTGCACTCCTTCCTCCACCGGTTCGCCGTCGTCAATTCGAAGTGCCGCCATTTGCCGCTCCAAAACCACAGCCACTGCCGCTGTTGCAGGAGCATGTACACCCTTGAGAGCAGCCCATGCCTTTGGTCCCTCTGCTGGTTCACGCTGAAAAGGCTTGATGCGACGGATTTGGCTGCTCCCCAACGCTTGCCCAAGTAGAAGGTAGCCTTGTGCGCTCTTCCGCACCCACGGGCTCTTCTCCGGGTCGTTCTCGGGGCGCTTCTCCGTTCCTTCCATCACCTCCAGCAGATCATAATGGTCAAAGATGTTCACCATCTTGAAGGACCACTCAGCAAAGTTGTCACCGTTGAACTTGTCAAGGCCAAACACTCTAGGCTCATCCCTAGAGGGTCCAAGGCTAGGTTGCACCGGAGCAACGGGTGGATCTTGGTGTTGACCTTGTGCTTGGGCGTCTTCTCTGCCTCCAGCACCTCTGCCACCCCCTTCCTCAGGTCTAGGCATGGTCGAGAAGTCTCCAAGGGGCTCTGATACCACTTGTTATAACCACAATAGGCTTAGATGTGCCTATAATGAGAGATAGAGAGCATAGTCGGATTTCCGTCAGACGGCTTCAAATATTCATAACGATCTGGTCGCTGAATTAAACGGTGATCTGTAAGTTGGATCTGGAGCGCGTTGCTGTCCTCTATCAGCATCAAGTTGAATCATGAAATTCCATGAAGATTTGACGACGCTATGGCGGTTTGACTGGCAGGAGGTATAGCTGCCACTATAGTCTTAGGAGTACAAACTTAGCAAGAAGAGTTCGAGAGGGAGATGGTTCCCAGCCTCTACATACCCCAAGAGCCAAGGTCCAGGTTGGTGGTACACCACCATAGAGTCCCCAACCATGAAGATTCTCGAAACCAACCCTCCAAGGGGCTACACCAAGTGAAATGTAACACTACACGAAGTAACGTTACTATTTTCACTATTTAATATTTATCCGCGTCCCTTGGGCTTGAAATCTTGAGCTCTTGTTCTTGGATCTGCAAGATAAATTCTTCTTGAGTTGATGGGGGCTTGCTGCACACACCTGCGACATGATGGACACTTCACACTCGACAAAATAGAAAAAACACATGCGATACACAAACGACGACTTGACATGCGAGTTGTAGAAACTCGCTAATGTCTTGACCGACACAAACCACATTGTGATACACCATTCAAACACACACACAAGCACTGGATAGCAATGACATAGACTCACAATTCATTCCATGGCATGCATGCACACACACAAACAAGGACGACAAGCCGAGTGCAAGCCATAGGGTTGCACCAACAGAGACAGTCTAGGGAAGAGCGGTAGGGTCAGTGACAAGTGAGGCAAGCAGGCGGGGGAGGACTGGAAGAGCATTGTGAGCACAGTTTGAGGGAGAAGCAGGGGACAGGTGGAGCAACGACTAGGGAGAAAACGGCAGGACAGGTTCTGAAGGAGCATGAGAACGAAGGACCATACGGTGGACACAAGGACGAGGAGAGATTGGACAACCACCAGTGGAGAAGGACGAGGTTCTGGGGACGAGGGGGAAAGGGGGACAAGATAGGGGACGGAGGAGATCGAGGGGGGAAACGAGCCGGAAAGGAGTCGGGGGGGGGGTGGGGGGGGGGGGGAAGGCATAGTAGGAGGGACACGCGGCCAGCCGGGGGAGCTGGAGGGGAGGCCAAGTAGATTAAGGGCAGAGTGCTGCTACTGCTGCGGTAGCGGCTACTGCGGCTGCTGCTACTGTTGCTCCATGTCGACTCCAGGACCTACATTCCCACCTTGGCTACCATCTGTACTCTCCAAGACAGCATCCCCAAGACTAGCACCCCTAGGTCTGGCACCCCCAAATCCAGCACCCGCAGAAGCAACACCGCCAGAGTCAGCCCAAGAGGCCACGGGCCC